AATGCTAATGCTAATGCTAATGCTAATGCTAATGCTAATGCTAATGCTAATGCTAATGCTAATGCTAATTTTAATGCTAATGCTAATGCTAATGTCAATGCGAAGCTAATGCTAATGCTAGTGCTAATGCTAATCATAAAGATGTTGATAATGATAATGCTAATGCTAATCATAATAATAATGCTAATCCTAATACTAATGCTAATGCTAATCATAATGATAATGATAATGCTAATGCTAATGCTAAATATGATAGTGATATTATCACATATAACATGAAATTTAAAGGGTATCTGCTAGTCCAACACTCAAAGCAATTCAATTGCTTGTTAATTCTGGCCATTGCTTGGCTAATTAAATCAGCTGCTTGATTTCGTGATTGTTGCCGCGTCGTGGAGGCTTATGCTGCGATTATGCTAAAAAGCTGACAGAGTTTTCTTCTTTTTTTTTGAACTTCAGAGCTCAATGTTAAATGGCAGCCAAGGATGACAATGGTGATGCCTAGCAACTGGTAACTGGCAACAGGCAACAGGCAGCAGACGAATGACAACTGCCAACAGCCAACTGGCAACCGGCAACTACAACAAGCCATAAAAGATGTGTTCTTAGCTGCTGTAAAGCAGTTGCCAATTTAGCATATGCCAAAGAACTGAAAATGTTTGAGTGAGCTAGTTGCAAACTTCAAGTCATATCCCTTATTGTCTCTCTTTCTCCCTCCCTTCTCTTGCCAAACTAGCTCCTAAAAATAACTTGGCTCTAGAGGTGCTGCTGAAAAGTCGAGCATTCATGCTTCAACTTTTGCATATTTCATATGACAAAATTAAATATTTATCTCAAGTGTTCGCTTTTTTTTCATATAAATATTCATTTTGCTTGTCGACAGCTTGGAAGGGTGTACTTTGACTAAACTATTAAAGATGGAGACTTAAAGATTGTTTAAATATATATAAAGGAACTCGAACTCTCAGCAGTGGAATGAGTAATGCTTTTTTGAAAGCTTAAATTCAAACAAAATGAAAGTAGAAATGGAAAAATCAGTTTCAATATTGAATAAGACTTTGGCTATAACATTTTTTCTAGTTAGGTAATTCTGAAAAATTAAAATTTCATACACATTAATCAACAAGCCTCTAACAAGATGCTTTTCTCGTTAGATCATTTCTACTTAAGCGAAAATATTTACTGCTTGAATTATAAAAGACAAACACTTATTTAACTAGGAATTGAATTTTTCTGTCTACATCATATATCTTCTATAATCTATATATTCTTGTCTAGCTGAAAGTCAAAATATCGAAATGTTCTATAAATCTTAGCCAATCATCGAATATCTGTGTATTTCACCTGCTCTTTTCAGTGGATCCAGATAAAAAGTGTGAAAGGTGCATATATATCTAATTTATTAGAGTATTCCATTAGATCTATTTCCTATATATCATTTTAAAGATCTTTGCGGCTATTTATATGTTTTTTAATATATACAATTTTATTTCAATTTCAATAGTTGGCCAGCGGCTGCTTTACACTGAAAGTTTTTCAAACAACAATTCAATTTTTTATTATAATCCAACTTGAATCAATAAACAGAGCATTGCTCAGTCGTTTTGGGCTATTCACATTACTTTAGCTTGCCTTTGCTCAGCTCTTGGCATATTTTAATTGAAAGTTTTCTATTGTATTTGTTAAATTGCTGCGTGATATATATGTACATAAATATATATCTAGACAGTTGTTAAATTTAATTGCGTATCTTTGAACTTTGACCTTCGAATATGAATATTCTTTTGGCCAAGTTTGTTTTCCATTGAGCCCAAGTCTATCCGTTTATATATTGGGCGCTTTTTTGGAGCACTTTCAATTTTAATTACACAAATATATATATTTCTGGCTTGTGTTTGAGGTAGGGCGCAGCACGGCAGGGTGGGGCAGGTTGGTGTTGGTCTGCTGGCAAAAGTAGCGCAGTGGGTGGCATGAGTTTTCAACAATGGGAAAATACTTTGAATGGCATTCCAATTGGTTGAACAGCGAAAGTGTTGCAAAACGTTTCGTTCAGTGACTAATCTTGAGTTTCCACGAAATGTCGAGCAAAATGAGGAAAATTGTGGCACAGCCCGCCCTCAGCAGCTACCCGTGTAATATAATAGCTACTTGACTGACTGTTTTCGCTTCATAATACGCGTTCTTTAAGTGTAAAGGAGTATATTGGCTTGTGGGGCTTGCTAGAGATTTGAAATTTTGTATCTCAGCAGGGCGTAGTTTGACAACAACTGTAACACTTGTCAAATACAGTTCCACAGAGCTGCTTTAGCTCTTCATCTTAAGTGATTAATTCAGGCTCGTAAAGGTTCTTCTCAGCTTGTTTTTATGGGCATACTTAGCTGTTGGCTGTGGACTCAAAGTGCATTGATTAGCTCAAATGGCTTGAATAATTTTAGCACTTAAACGAGTATTATGCAGTCGATCATATGTCAATATTTGTACCTGTCATTTTTTTGCTTTTTCGATTTTCTTATTCAATTTTCACTTGTTTTTCTCGCTTTTTGGCAACAAAACAATTTGTTTATAGCGCGTTGTTTTTGACATATTTATGCCGGCGGCCGGCACTTGAGCATACACGTAACCACCTCCCCACAGTCGATCCCTATATATATATATATATACATATATATATATGTGCAGAGTAGCTAAAAACAAAAGGTAGGCAAACTGTTTTGAGACTTCAAACTCTGCCCCAATAATGCGGCCAAAAAAGCAAAAGAAAATTAAAAAAGGAGGAAAAACTTCTGCTCCTTTGCCTTTGCCTTTGCATTGTTTGTTTGTTGTTCGTTGATGTTTTTGTTGTTGTCTGTGGCACAGTTTACTGTTATGCGCTTCAAGAAAGTCGTTATGGAAAAGTGCTCAGACTTAGGCGTCCATAAAACCGAAGAGTCGCGGCTTTAGGTTTATAAATGTGCATGGGCATATGTTGAGCACGCAGCAAATCTCAATTTAGCTACTTTAATTGCTGTCTATGGCGCCTAGGTAAAGTAAATTAACTAGAAGTAGACGAACTGAAGCTGCTGCTTTAGTTCATTGCCATTTAAGGTGAATAACAGTTCATTATATTGGATTAGATTTCGCTTTCAAATAGTTTCTAATTAAGAAACTTGATTATTGCAGGCGGCGGCAGCGGCAGCAGTGTCTAGAGCCTTGTTAGACATAAATAACTTTAATAATTAGAGGAAATTGCTTAAGCGACTAGAAAATACTGTTGATAAACTCTGACTATAGTTCGAACGCCTTAAATTGACATAATATTGGCTTAATTCTCAATTTTATATCGAATGTAGCAACATTTTGAAGAACTTGACAAAACATTCTTCCAAGTTCAATAAATTTTGGGGTACGCAAAATAAACTAATTAGACTCAGCAGCTTGAATAAAAGCTAGAGCTATCAAATTGAATTAAGAACTCAGATTTCGTATATGGTATACCTCCACACGCCCACTTCCCGCAATATTTGGCCAATAGGCACATAGAGATGTCATAATCAAGCTCTGAACTGAGACAGTCCAACTAGAACAATCACTTTTAACAATTATTTGCCGATAACCCAGCCCCCAGCGCATGAAAGAGTTCACGGTAGCTCCAAGTCGAGCACTCTCCACAGTTCTCAAGCTCGACTATGTTTCATAGCTCCCTTCACAACTTGAACTTTATCTTCATTGCAATTATTAGCTCCTACTTAATTTACATTTTAGATTTCTTATTTCAGTTACAAGCTTAATTTCATATTTATTTTTAGAGCTGCTTCAGCTTTTCTTTTTACAGGTTACAAAATTTCACTTAGCCATTTTTGTGTTTTTGTTGTTACTCTTAAAGCCCTAGCTGAGAACCTGTAAACTGTAAACTGAAAACTGAACGGCCCAACCTGTGCCGAGTTTTCCATTGAGCTCTGAGCTGCCGCTTTAAGCCTCTCCCCCGCGCTCTGTCGCCTCTTCTCTTGCAGTGGAAACCCAATCAAACAGCTCTGCCTCCCTTCGCCCTGCCCCCACCTCGTCTATATCTTGTGCCTCGCGTGTTTGGCGCGCATTTCGCGAAGACTTAAGTGGGCCGGCCTCAAATGTACATACGTTACGTTACGTTACGTTATTTGGCCTTACGCGACGTTAGAAATTGTTCCGTTATACTTTTTGGCGTAGGCGTGGGCGTTTTTGTTCTTGTTTGCTCAGTTGTTACGGTTGTTGTTGCTGGGCCTCTTTTCCTTCTTGTCACTTTTGGGCCGAAATCGAATTTATTGTTTTAATGCCATTTCAGTCACTGCCTCTCAAACCAGCAAAAACCAGAAAAATTGGCAATTTGTTTGGAAATTAGCGCGCTTCTTTAGCATGTAAAATGAAAATCAATTTCCCACAAAAAACCATGCTCTATACACTTGGCAAAAAAGTAATGAAGTGACGAAGTATAAAGATTTAGTTGAGAAAGTTATAAATGAATCTCTCTCTCGCTCTCGCACAGTATCTCCCTTATTCTCTTATTCTTACTCTCTCTACCCCTCTCACTCGAATCACACCTAGAGAAATTTACCAAGAAATAATCTTTGCTTAAGTATCTTCAACTCTTTGGAGAATAAAAACCTTTAAAAGAAAAGCCCTGAGAATTTCTAACTTTCAAACTTTGTGGCTAAAGAAAACGCATTTTATTTTTAAAGAATTTTAATGGTAAATTAACAGCGACAGCAAGCTAAACATCTACCTTAAAGCTAAGCAGAGAATCAGCACAAATCTTATATTATGTTAAATAAAATTTCTATAATTCTGGACTTAGATTATAAAATAAAAATATAAGAAAAATATATATTACATATCGAACATATATTAAATATATTCTATATTCCAAGTTCAAGCAAAATATATATTTAATTTATTTTTATCTTTGCTAAGCAGTCGAGTTTTCCTTGAGTGTAGCTACTCTATATTATACACAAATACTTACAATAATTTCCTCTATACACTTGCAGCATGAGTGCCACTGGCAACGGCAACAGCAACAGCAGCGCCATCAATACTACCGCCACCACCACTAGCACCGCCACGACTGGCAACACCGTCACCAATCCAGCATCGACGCACATTTTTCGTTCGCTGTCGTCGGAGAGCCAGAAACGGGAATGGTCGAAACGTCTCTCATTGCGTGGCATGCGACATGGCGCTGGAGCCGTAGGTGGCAGTCTGGCTGCCAGCAAGGAGGTAAGCAAGTGGACAACCACTAAAACCACAATCCAATGCCACAAGCTATTCCAATTGCAGGAAACGGCGGGAGTGGGAGTGGGCGGAGCAGTCGGCGGAGCGGGCAAACATCGCAAATTCTTTAGTCGCTCCGCATCACTGAAGCAGGCGGGCAGCGGTGCCGGCAGCACGCAAGCCTCGATGGAATTGCATGTACCTGGGCACTCATCCGCAGCTGGCTCACCATCTGGACTGGCGCATCCGCTGACACAGCCATCGACGCCAAAGAAATCCAATTGGGAGGTGATCGAACATTTCAATACCAGCGCCAAGGGAGGCAAAGCAATGGTTAGCAGCAGCCTGATTGCGGTAAGCAGATTGGATTGAGAGTGGGAGCGAGGGGTGGGTGTGCTAGTGGGAGTAGGATTCGTTGCTTTCTGGCTTTGGCATCAATTAATTTGCCCGCCTAATGGACAGGCAAGACCCAACTGACTGTACGATTTAAATATTTAATTCGATTTGGCCATAAGACAAATTAAAATACAATTTCATTGGCAAAAAGGGAGAGCTAAATGATGCAGGGAGGGCTAAGTGAAGGAGTCAATGGCGAGGATGTAAAGGAGGCTTATAGAGAGGTCTGGAAACGTAGGCAAGGGAATTGTATTGAGTCTCAGCATTTATGCTAAAAGTTTATGCATTGTTAGACGCAGCTTTGAAGCTGCTTTTGTTGTTGTCTTTCTTAACAACACTTGAGAAAAAGTTAACACCTTTAGCTGAGGCTAACAAGCCTGCACACACACACACACATACTACGACACACGCATCAAAACTCACATGGAAAGTGGAATATTGTCTGCATGCACAAGGGTCCACTTTACAATATTGAGCATGTGTGTTGGCGTCTACAGTAGTAACAAACTTGAGTGAACGTATATTCCATATTTCAATTCATTTTCAATATTAGTCATATATTCTATTAATATGGAATGTATAAAATACATTTGCTAAAAAATGTGTACAGATCATCCAAGTTGAAAAGCAGCTGAAAGCATATCTGATATGAAATATGAATATAATATATATAACAAATATGAATATAGTATATATAGCACATAGCTTATAGTATATATGTTATAGAATTTAAGACTTTCAAGACTAATATGCTTCGAATTTCTCTTAATTCCAAGAGAAGCAATTTTGATAAAATATTGCAGGATATTATTCAGTCGGATACTTTTCAGTACTTTGCAGCAGCTTGCATATCTCAAAATCTTAACATAATTGATAGGAATAAAAAAATTGGGTACTTGAGAAGCCAACTAGTCGCTGGTAGGATATATATTGGTTCTATGTGTTATAATTTCCACCAAGGCTTAATCAGTTTTGACGGAGAAGTTTTGACTATTTGTAATAATAAAATTGTGGCCAGATATGTATCAGATACTTCCAACTAGAGCAAGCTCAACAGTTGAAGGCATTAATTGCCATAATTCAACAGTTAAAGTTCAAAATATAAAAGAATTAACTTAACGCTAGGTAAAGGGTAATTGACAGTCGGATATTCCACACTAGCTGGCAGTAGTTAGCTGCTAGAGCTAGCGCCAAGACATTTCTAACTTTAGTTTTTATAAAAATAAATAGTAGATGTAGTAGATAGTAGATAGATAGATAAGGGATAATAGAATTTCTACCAGATAAAAATAGGAGCTGTTCGAGTATTCACTGTATTTGAATTTGCGTTCAGTGCTCGCCAGAGCTGTCGAGAGTCAATTGAAAATGTTTATGGCACGAAGCAGCGTAAAGCGACGGCAATTGAGAGAGTGTGTGTGTGGGCGTGGCACGCCAAATGGGCGGCAATTTATTTAAAGATGCCTCGTGGAATAGAACTGAACTGAAAAACGAAGCAGTTTAACAGTAGCTGAAGCTTAAATGGAATGTATGGGACGTATACTTAATATTTGTTAAGCATGCAGCTTACTCTAATGAAACCGTATATTTTATTGCCATAGTTATCTTTCATATTTATTACAGGCTGGCATCACGCGCTGCAACATTGACGAGTCGATTGATTCAACCAACTCGAGCTCCACCTGCCACAGTCCGATGATCTATCAACGGGACGAGGCACAGCTGCTGCAGCAGCAATGTGAGTAGCACTAGAATAACAAAACGTAGCTAACGCTGAGCATGTAATGAGACGCCCTGGACATGGCTAATCAAAATGCCAACACATATGTTAGCCTGATCGAATAGCTGACTCGAATCGCACAACTTGATTGTCATTGTCGTCGTATTGCATTTGACGAGACAGCTTCTCAGCTTCAGTTATCCAATATTTAGACAGCCTGGCCTCTGCGGGCTGCGGTAGGTAGCTGCCTGCTTGGTAGGTGGCCTTGTCTGTCAGTTTTATATGTCTTACTCTGTCTCTTTTACTCTATTATGCTCGCTCAAGTAGTGAAACGGGTATACGGGCTTCTTCAGCTTAAGCTCTAGAGTGAACAAATTTTGAGTGAAGAGCACATTGAGCTAAGAAGTTTCTGTCTAAGTATATCTGGTCTATGTAGAATAATTCAATTTCTCCACTGCAAAAGCTAGAGTATTCAAATGTGAACAACAATTGATGAGCCTGTAAGTAAATTAGATTGGGTTGACCAAATTTGGGAATAAATAGGGCAAAAAGCTTCGCTTTAGTTTCATTTAAATATTCGTTGCCCAAAGCCTAACGTGTATCTCAGTTTTAGAATTGGAGTGACCAAAATTTACTTAGTCCAACTTAAGGTGAACAAATTTTTAAATAAAAAAAGATTTTTCGCTTTTAGCTGGCCCAAGTGAGATTTTGACTCTATAAATCAATAGCTAAGCTACATAGAGGTAATAATTTCAGTGATGGGGTGACCATATATTTTAAAATTTTCATTTAAACTATACATCAATCTTTGACAATCACTGTTCGCCGTGTACAACACACGTATTACGTCGTTACACACAGAAAACACGTAATATACAGTCGTTAACACCCGTTCGCTGCAAGATTCTCATTTATTTTCTATGAAGCGGCCACAGTGGCATATTGAATAGGGCGAAAAGCTGGCAAAGAACGTGGCTCATGTTTTTGATATGGTAAACTCGTGTATATATGTGTGTATATGCACAGAGATTTCTATAGAAATTTACATAATCACGTTTGGCATTTATTTATTGATGCATGAGAATGTACACAAAAAACATATAAGAAAATATACGCATTGTTGTGCGTGTGTGTGTGTGTGTGTGTTCGGTTTTATGGGGGTCAGTCAGAAACGATTTTACAACATTTTATGGCATTGTGCAATGCATTCAAAACGAGCTACAACAATGTGAAAGGCAAAAGGACGATAAGCGAATCCATTTTGCCAATGCATATCAGGATTGTGCTGCAGCCACAAGTTGCAAGTTGCCAGTTGCCAATTGCCAGCTATCCATATACCAAAACACATGTAAATTTATATATTTAACAATGCCAAACGCAGCTCTCGCTCAGCGGTAAAGCATTATTAACTGTGAATGTGGCAATCGAAAATCTCATCAGAATGCAATTTGAAAAATTTCTATTTCAATTCACAATTGCTGGCATGTAATAAAACCATTGTGAAAACAAATAACTATGTATTTATATATATAAATATGTATAAATGCATGTACGATTGTTGTTATCCGTTAGCTTTGTTAGCCAATTACAGCAAACAGAAATTACAAATATTTCATTTCCATTTTCATTTCATGCACATTTGACACATGACTGAAGCTCAAATGCTAATTATTCTTGGCAATAATGTAATTGTGTAATTAGCTTGAAGTTGAAGGAGTGAACGTTTGACTTTCTCTTTGAAAATCCATTAAATGTTAAGGATTTCCGGCTAACGACTTTGAAGTATGCAATTAATCCTCTTAGAATTTGAAATTATTGAAAATATTAAAAAAAAACATTTATAAATTTTAGGGGATAAGATTAAGTGAATGTATTTGAAGTATAAAATAGCTGAGATTGCTGAGTTAGTAAAGGGTTTCTTAAAAAGCCACCTATCCTAGATCTAAAATGTGAAAGAGTTTTCCTAATTAATACTCTACATTCTACCCTACTTATCTTTAGGTATCAAACTCTTTTAGTAGTTGCTCAAGATATCACTTAATATTTGTAAATGCATGTTTATGCCTTTGTAGTTCAAGTTCAACGGTTCAAAGTTAATTTTATATAACTTTGTGTAATTAGAACTAGTGCATTTAAGAACTCTATCAGAGTAAGTACCAAGTCTAGTTTAAATTTTTTTTAGTTTGTCACTGATCTACGCGCAATAGCGTTTATAAATGCCTGAGTATCATTTATACATCAATAATAACTCTCAAAGTAGCAATTTAAGTGAATCATCAAACTGAACTAGTTTCTCGAATTTCATTGAAACAACAGCTAACTGAACTAGTGGTGAAATGAGCGATTAGCTAAGAGCTCCCGTCAAATTGAGCCTGCATCTACAGCTCATTGAGACCACTTCCATTTAAGATCACGCTAACTAAATCCATCTATATCTAAAAAGTGAATCTTGAAGTACAAACTCAGGTTCACAAAACAATGACGACAGCTAGGCTCTAAGCTCTAGTTCATTCGAACCACTTGCGACAACTAAGACTTGAACTAACTCCCTCTTCCCCTCTCTTCTCTCTCTCTCTCCCTCTCTCGCTCTATCTGCTTTCCTTCAGCCGATGCAGCCGATGGCCGAAGCAATGTGGAAGCGAACAATCCAAGCACCACGGGCATTCAGGCGGGCAGTCCAAGCATCTCATTTTGGTATCGTTTGAATCGCATCATTTTGCGTCTCTGCTCGACGCATCAGTTCAAGAATCTGCAGGTAAGCAGCTTACATTCCAAATATATATTTGACCAAGCTACCAAATGGAAATTGACAACTCAATGCCGAGGCTCAAAATTTACATTTTCGCTTGAAAGAGCTGAAAGTCCTCACGATTTCCATTTGTTTGTCGTCCGTTTGCCAGGTGGAAATGCTCTATCAGCGTTATTTTCTACGAATGAATCAAAGTAATACGACGCACATTCTGGGCCTATTGCTAACGTTGATTTTGGCATTATCCTGCACCCAGCTGGTGTACACCACGCTCCAGTTACGTCGCAGCCAACCGGCCACAGGGCTGACATCCGCAACGATTCGATTGGCGGCTCAGCAGCTCGACTCGAATGCCACGAACAGCGAAAATGTTACGCACTTTATGACGGCCACAGCAACAGCTGCACCTGCAGCACCGCCAACAGCACCACCATCACCACCCTCGCCACAGCCTGCAAAGCAAATGAGCCATCATCGGCGTTTGGTTTCCATTGACAGTCTGGCAGCGCTGAACACTGTGCAAATTCCAAATGGCATTCGCCGCAACGCTAATGCGGCACAGCGGACAGCAGTTGCCGCCAAGCGAGGGCAGCAGTGGCTGGGACGTCGGCAAAAGCGTAAGCATTATCGACGCCTACACAAGCATCGCTACAAACAGCATCAGCATCAGCATCGTGCCAGGTGAGTGGGCAGCAGCGTTGCCACCTTTTTTATAGGCAATTGTTAATCAGACTTGGCAGGTTTATTTGCAAGTTGAGCGTTCTAAGAGTCTAGTGTTATTTACGGGGCAACTTTTCTTTATGATTTTGAAGCAAAGCCTCGGAGCTGGAATTTAGTATAAAATATGATAACGTTTCTTTGTGAATGTGAAGCTTTATTATACACTATAATAACTAATGCATATTTATTGTTTTGGTATTCAACAAGTATTTTGATGGTACAGTTCATGAACCGTTAGTAATAGAGTTGCCACCTATTTAAAAAAAAGTTTATTTGCAAGCAATTCTGATTTTAATTGTCACATAACTTTACCTTTAATTATTTTCGATATTTGGGTAACAAAAAATTAGGAAAGAGTTGTCACCTATTTTAATGTAACATTTCTGATTGAAAGGACAAAACTTATAATTTCAGAAAGTTATACATCTATTTTAGCAATTTGATTGTTTAATTGAGTTATATTTGGTAACAAATTAAAATATTTAAGAACAGAGTTGCCAACATTTTATTGATAGTTGCTTATGCTTAAGCTTCAAAATGAAAATTCTAACTTCAAATTGAATTAATACTACAAAATGAAATGTGTTATGTTTCGTTATCGTTATCGATTAACTGCAAAATTCTCAAATTAACGTAGGCTGAATTAATGAAGTAGTCCATATTTACTTATTATCAAAAATCAATATATTTTAAAGTGATAACAGAATTGAACTTTAAATAAAACAATGTTAAACTACACTTGTGATCGATAAATTTATCGATAATTTGAAATATTAAAGCCTAGACTTGATTCTGTATGCAAAAATGTTTCCACTAAAAGAGACTTACTACGCACAGTTTAGATAAAATTGATTATTCCTTATCAATATTGAAGCTTAGTGAAATGCTTGTCGAACGCTTGGCAACACTGGCTACAATCAATTGCAGGCCTCACAGCTGGTTAGCTGGCAGGTGGCACCAGGAAGTGCCTGGCGCTTTACTCAGTTAGCGGTTGGCTTTGGCATTTTGACAGGCGCGTTATGCAAACAACTGCCAACTGCCAGCAGCGAGTCCAGACACGCATTACGCATACGCCTCTTTGACCTGACAGGCCTCCAAATTCAATCTGCGCCCATAAAAGTGTGCTACGCCGCTCTTTACGCGTTCAAATGGGGTTTTCTGTGAAGTTAAATTTAGAATTGGCCAATTTTCAATAACAAATCGCAGCCGAGACAAGAAATTGCCAACAATAAAGCAAACAAACAGACAAACAAAAAGCCACGCAAAATATTTGTAAAGCAATAAACAAAGTCAACAAATACATCAATAAAAATGCGCGTAACTTGGACCACATGCGAGTTGAGGAATTTCCATCTCGATTCGATTTATATTTGTATATATATATGTGTGTGTGTTATATATATATTTATTCGAGCCATCAAGATGGATAGTGTTGCGTTGTGTTTGCATTGAGTTGGGCCAAGCTAATGCCAGACTTATTGATATGCGTATAGAAATTGTTTTTTATGCCCGTTCGGCGTGAGAAAGTGGGGTTTCTTTGTTTGTTTGTCTGAGTGAAAGTTAGGGACTTAACATTTTTGTATGTGCTCATATACAGCTGATTACATTTGGAATTTCGAGAGCCAGTTACTCTTTATTTTTAAAGCTGATGTATTCTTTCTTGCTGATGTATTCTATAAAGATTCATGCATTTGTTGCTAAAACAATCTTATAGTTAGGTACTTCGAATATATTGCTAAGATGATATAGCAAAACTAGATATATTTTAAATCTGTCCCAACCATATAACACAGTCAAGAAAATGTATTTAATCGAAATAAATTTAGCTATGGATCATAGAATAATACTAGATATATCTGTCATAATATAGAGGCTAGTTAGAAGCTATAAATTTACAACATTTACTTATAGAGTCATTGAAGTCCTACTCTAATAATGAGATTAAATGATATATCTAAGGCTAAAGTCAAACATTATTACAGACTTCTTACTAAGCCTCCTCTCTATATATCATGATCGAAATGATAGACACTGTATACGAGCCCCAACCACTATTAATTCGAACAGCATGTTTTTTTTGCAGTGCGCAATGTTTAACACACTATATTATCAATACTACTAAAGATAACACATACCAATGCATTTCGTCTCAAAGAGAATTTTATTCTCTTCACGACGAAAAAAAAGTTTTGCTCTATTTCCAACAACAACAAAAATATGAGTAATTTATTCAAACGGTTTGCTTAAGAGATAAGAAAAAAGTGACCACTATTAATTCGAACGCGGCGTAATGTGATTTACTATCATACTTAAAACAATAATTTAATTAATATTAGAATTGTGTAACGTCGCCCTTGGCCTGCATTACGCATTTAACTCGTTTTGGCATTGAGCTTAACAAATTTTTGCAATGCTCTTGAGAAATTGAGTCCCACATCTCTTGCAACTTGATTTTCAAGTCAGAAATATTCCTTTGTGGCTCATTTCGAAGCTGGTTTTTCATTAGCCACCAAATATTTTCAATTGGGCTTAGATCTGGACTATTTGATGGCCAATCTAAAACCTCCATTTGATTATATTGCAGCCAATTTTTGGTTCACTTGGCTGTGTGCGATGATGCTCCGTCCTGCTGAAAAGTGAATTCACCGCAATCTGATAGTTTTGGTATTGATGGCAACAAACTATCTTGTAAAATATTAATATATTTTTCAGCATTAACTGTCCCTTCAATGAAATGAAGTTTTCCTAATCCTTTGGCAGACATACATCCCCATACCATAGTGCTCGCAGGAAACTTTGTTGTTCTTTTAAGGCAGTCTTTATGGTATGTTTCTGACCTCTTACGGATGACGCGTTTTCTCGTATCGCCGACACTAACATCAAATTTAGCTTCATCGCTGAATATGATGGTATCCCATTGCCTTTGAGTCCAAGACATCCTTTCCCGAGCCCATTGCAAACGCTTCTTTTTTTGACGAAGCGTAAGCAAGGGTTTTTCCTTGGCCTACGAGTAAGATTACGAGTAAGTTATTGGGTACGATGCACAGGTAATAACAAAACATACTTTATAAAAACCATATCCAATACTTTTTAATTGCTGTCGCGTCCACTCTCGCTTGACAGTTTTGCCAATTGTCTGCGACCACTTAGAAGCCAAATTTCTCAAAGATTGGCGACGATCAGCCTTAACAATTTTGGCCAGTTGTCTTTTGTCGCGGGGTGTTATTGCTGATGTTCGGCCTCTATTCGCAATGTTATTTTCAATATTCCCATTTTTTTTGAAAATTTGTATCACCCCATGCACAGACGACTTAGGCAAATTTAATTGCTTGCTTATCTCCGTAAGTGTCTTTCCAGATTTAAAATAATCCCTAATCAATACTCTGATTTCTTTAGAAATAGGTTTACCACGAACCATCGTTGCTAAACTTCTACTGATCTGCAGCAATTCTAAAATTTTTTTGCATGCTGTATTGTGACATTATTTGCAGATCATAACTAGATAATGATTCCGTTACATTAGTTGCTTTTGTTTTGCTCTTCTTGAGATTAAGGTAAGCTTACGCCGCGTTCGAATTAATAGTGGTCACTTTTTTCTTATCTCTTAAGCAAACCGTTTGAATAAATTACTCATATTTTTGTTGTTGTTGGAAATAGAGCAAAACTTTTTTTTTCGTCGTGAAGAGAATAAAATTCTCTTTGAGACGAAATGCATTGGTATGTGTTATCTTTAGTAGTATTGATAATATAGTGTGTTAAACATTGCGCACTGCAAAAAAAACATGCTGTTCGAATTAATAGTGGTTGGGGCTCGTATATACAACTGTAATACTATAAGTTCTCTAACAGCTTCGTCTATTCCTAGACTCCACAAATGAAAAATACTCAACTTAAAGCGAGTATTGCACAGTCGTGCATAGTCGTCTTTTTATACATTTCATTTTTGTTTTTCTGTTTTCTTTCACTTATCAACTAATACACCTGTGCCACGCCCGCTCGACGCCTACCATTCAGATACAAACGAGGCATGCAGCAGCAGCAGAAACAACTGATTGACCAAGTGAATGAGGCAACTGCTGGAGCTGAAGCCGATGCCGATGATGATGTCGATGACGATAATGATGGTGGCATTAAACGCTTTATGGGGCTGCGCGACTACAATGATAACAATCGTCAGCATTTGCCCTTCAGTCGCCGCCAGGCACGTGCTGAAGTGTTCAAATTGACGCCGTTTGATGGCGTTGCCGATGCGAATGCCACGCAGCAACAGCAACAGGAGAAGGTGGAACAGCAGCAGAACGCGCCACATGAGCCGATAGAAAGTGAAATATTTGGCTTAACTGGTAATTTGGAGAGTTCATTGGATTACACGCATGTTTTCTACTCGATATTCATGCAAATCGATGACGCCGTGCTCGTCTTTCTCATTGTCATGCTAATCTGTGGCATCGTCTATGCATGTGAGTTCAAGCTCGAGTGTTTGCCACAAATTGTTGTCAATTGTATATTAATTGTTGCGCTCTCTCTCGCTATACCTATCTGCTCTTATTCTTCTTTTTCTTTATCATCTAGTTCTGCTCTGCATACTGTCCAAGCCGGCGATGAATGAAATATTTCTGGTGCTCGTCTCTTATGTCATATTGGGCACGTTTCTGGCCATTGAAGTTGCCGTCAGCTACGTGCTGCAGCCAAGGTTTGTCAAGGGGGTCGGAAACTCACAGCTGCTGCCAGGCAGCCAAAAATTAATCATCAGCCATCATCAGCTGCGGCACGCTAATTGCGTTTCACGGCGTCCGAAAATTAGATGAGAACAAAGCCAAACATCAGGCTGTCCGGCCAAGCAGCAAATACATTAGACAAACAATAAGTTAAAGCATTTCGCTCGATGCTGTGTATATGATAGATCGTGGCTACATATTTATGAGATATTTGACCATTTGCTGGAAGCTTAGTAATCAATTAAGATATATTGGCTAAACTTAAGGGTAGATTTGGCGTAGGTATCTGCTTAGGTAGCTCTAGTTAGAAATCTGGAATATATACAAGCTTCGTCCAAAGCGAACTTGAGATTGGAATTAAATATTTCAAATATTTGTCAAAGCTGCTGAATCACTAAAATCTCTATGAGGTTGCTGAACTAGCAGACAAACTGGCCAAACTAAAGTGTTTTCAGATAGGCTTAAAATGTAGTCTGGCCGAGTTCTTCTTTATGCCCTAATTTAAGCTCAAGATAAAACCTTAAATACTTTGGCTAAGTCTTTTGCTACTCTTCAATTTTTTTAGTCTTAAAGCTAAGCAACTTCTTAAAATATAAACTCAAAAATAGACTGAGATCAAGACATCAGCTTCCAGCAAAAAAACAAATAATACCCTATGAACAGCTTTGGCTCTGCTTACAAATTAAAGAAGTTTTAGCTCTGTATCTAAATTTTAGCACTTTAATTTCGTGCAGCTGCAAATGACTTATCAGGATTTAAATACTCTAAAAGTATTGTAGACACCAATTGCTGCGCCTTCTTTAATTCAATATCTGCTGATAAAGAGATACAGGCAGGCTGCTTAGCTTATGAATTAAAATCTGTAACTTTTAGCTAATCTTGAAGTTTAGTTTGCTGAAGCTTTAAGCCAGGCAGCCAGATTGATAAAGAAGAACTGATGATACCTGAGGCAAGGCTATGTTGCAGGAGTTTATTTCACTCAAGAACTTTGCATTTCACCCACACTTAAGACTCATCAATTTCGAGCAGCTTTAAGACTAGCAAGCAAAGCAAACAGTTCAATCGAAACTAGGCACCCCTGGGCAAGGCTTTCTCTGGGCTTTTATCTTAATTAAAACTTCTTCTACCGCAACTTCTTGCAGCAAATCGTTTAATGGCAGCGCCTGTTGCATTGTGCTCATCTACATGACGTACACAATGCTGCCGCTGCGGTTGCGTGAGTCGCTCATCGGTGGCATGTTGCTCAGTGGCACGCATCTGTACACCTGTCTGCGTACACAATACACGCTCGACAAGCTGGAGCAGCAGCAGCCGATGGACCTGGAGCAGCGGGAGCAAATGGAAACGCATTTGTCCTGGCAGGAGGTAAATCGCAGCAGAATGCTGCCACGCTGTTGCAACTGTTTGTGGCTGCCACAAATCAAATGGCCAGGCATATCCATCAACAGCACTGCTTTGACAAAAGCCGCAAACGCATGTGGGCGTGGCCGTGTGTGGGCGTGACAATGGACTGAAAAGCGTTGTTAAGGCGAGCGCTTTAATGGCCTGAAAGGTCGGGCGTGCGTAGCTATGGCAGCGCACGTGATAATAAATTCGCATAAAATGCACGCGCCATTTATAACACACACAAACACAACAAGCACACACACACATAGAGAGAGAGAGACGAAGAGAGGCAGAGAGAGCAAAAGTACAGGTGAAAAAACACAAATAAATGAAATTAAATTGCCGCAAAATTGAATAAAATTGCGTTGCTTCGTCTCTCTCTCTCCATCCTTCTCTATCTTTGTCTGGCTCTCCCCGTGTTGGTGTGCCTATGTGTGTGTGTGTGTGTGCGTTGTTCCGTAACTGGGCTTTTATTGTGCTTGTTCACTGGCAATGAAATGGATACTAATGCCTTTAGTGCCATTACACATTTTACTTCCTCTCTCTTTCACTCTCCCTATCTCTTTCTCTCTCCCTCCCTCTTTCCGCTGCAGCTGCTGTGCACCTGCATTGCCCTGTTGCTGGCGAATCTTACAGGTATTTACACGCACTGGCCCAAGGAGAAGGCGCAGCGCAAGGCATTCATAGAAACGCGTCAGTGCATCGAGGCGCGTTTGCGTACGCAGCGCGAAAATCAACAACAGGTGAGCTCCACTCTAAGCACCTGCTCAAAAAAGCACATCAAAGCGAAGCCAAAAGCCAGCAGCTAAGTGCTGGCCAACATATAAACGTGACGAATATGGCAGCGTGTGGGCATTGGGCCGTGGCAAGGACTTGTTGCCTGATTGCTTCGCCCAGCTGCCTTTTGCTGATCTAGCAGCATTTGGCATAACCTTTTGACAGTTTAACCCCAACCTCTCTCTCTTTCCCTCTCTCTCCCTCTCTCTGTGTGAGCAGGAGCGTTTGCTGCTTTCGGTGCTGCCGCGACATGTTGCCATGGAGATGAAGGATGATATTGCGGGCCAGCCACGTGACACACAATTTCATAAGATTTACATACAGCGCCATGAGAATGTCAGGTGAGTGTGTATGTGTTTGAGTGAGTGAGTGGGTGTGTGTGCGTATAGCGTGTGCCTCTTATGCTTCGTGTATAAATTTATTTGCATACAAAGTCAATAAATATGCTTAAGGCATGTGCATGTGAGTGTGTGTGTGTGAGAATTTGTGCATAACCCGACACATTGAATTTGTAAGTACAGCAGACCCTAGCTAAAAGGGCAGCACGCTGTTGACTTAGCCATATAACTTGACAAATGTCAACAAAAAGTTTGGAACTTTTTGATTAATTAAATAAATTATTTACTTAAGCAAAATTTGTTAAAATCTTGTTATTTTTTAATTAGGAATAATGCTTTCATAACAAAATGTTTTATAATTTGTTTTCAACAAACGCCTACAAGGTTGTGCGCTGTATCGAGTCTGTACTGTACACATATCAAGTAACAACTGCACGTTACCAACTGTCGCACACACAATTACACATGCACATAGGCACACACACATACATACACACACGCACTCAGCAGAAAGCATACTTCAGGGCGCACCTGTTTGCTTTTGTTTTCCCCCGCAGACACATTTGATGTATTAAATTACGCGCTGAGCCGGCTAAGCAGCTCGAAAAGAAGTTGCCGAAAAGATTTGCCAAACAAATTTGCCATAAAAGTCCAACTTTAACGTGCTTTAAATGGAAACGAGTTGGAATATATTTAAGAATTCCTCCGGCGCAACTAACACACACACACACACCCAAACAGAAACAAACTTAGCTTGACTCCAACAAGAACTGTAATATTTGCACTTTATATGAACTCTGGCCACTCTTTTCTATTTTCGTTGGCATTTCTCTTTTTTGTTCTAGCATCCTGTTTGCAGACATTTGCGGTTTCACTAGCCTGTCGGATCAGTGCACTGCAGAGGAGTTGGTGCGTCTACTGAACGAGCTATTTGCACGGTGAGTCCTTAGTCCATAGCCCAAGTCTATGGCCAGTTCGTAGGCATACTTAATGACATGGCCAACCTGTCTGTGTGTGTGGACCAACTTTTATTTTTTTTCTCTCTTGTTGCCCTTGGCCTGGGGCCATGTCAAACAGTGTAACAAATGGTGATACTGGTTGAAACAGAGGCACAAATTAATTGCACATTCGAGTGCCTAGCCAGCAGCAACAGCAGCATCAGCAGCTTAGGATACCAAATTTTGGCACCGTTGTTTGTTAGGCACTTTATTGATTCGTATCGTATGATACGGCCATTCAATTTGTGCAGGCTCTAGTTCTGGCCTTATTGAGTAGCTGAGAGAAAAAGTGTTATTTAATACCAACGAAATTATCGATAAATCAGCTGCACAGGCATTCAATCTAAGCTGCACTTGATGCTTGTGATGTCAGCACCGGGCTCTAACAGCAATTTATTAACACTTCAATGCAAAAGAGTATAGTAAATTTTATTACTATGCTAATTATAAGTTTCCAACGGGAAGCAAACTTTTGATGCTGCATACTTAGCTTTTGTAAACTTTTTAATTGCATAATTTAGAGGTGCAGTGTTGAGAAGTGCTTCAGGTATGCGTTCGCTGTGTGGCTGTTTAGTATTTTAATTAATAAACTTGACTTATTTTCCCTTGACATTAATTGGTCACACTTTAACGCTTAAATGGCTGAGCATTAAGCTTGAGCTTGGCTTTAAATTGATTTAAAACATAATTTAATATTGTTAACTAGTTTCTTACAGACTCCACTTTATCGTCTACTCTTGTTACTTACTTTACAGCTTTGATCGATTGGCTGCAGAGCATCATTGTCTGCGCATAAAGCTGCTTGGTGATTGTTATTACTGCGTCTCCGGTTTGCCAGAGCCCAGGCCGGATCATGCCCATTGCGCTGTTGAAATGGGACTCGATATGATAGACGCCATAGCGTGAGTATAACAGCAAAGAGCACAACGAATGCTTTGTGTATGTATGTTTTTTGTCATGCTGCAACTGCAACCTCTTTCTTTGTTCTCTCTCCCTCCTCTCTTTGGCAGCCTGGTGCGCGAGGTAATGGCCGTGAATGTGAACATGCGTGTGGGCATTCACACGGGACGCGTGCACTGCGGTGTTTTGGGTCTAGTCAAATGGCAATTTGATGTTTGGTCCAATGATGTGACTTTGGCCAATCACATGGAGAGCGGCGGCATACCTGGGTAAGCAAAACGAATAAGCTAAATGTTGTACTGTATGCTCTAGCTCTAGATCTTAATCTTCATCAATATAAAGAATAATAATACATCAATTGTGCGAGCTCTTTGCCTGGCAGCTATATGAACTTTCATAAAACCCTTACACCCCCTTTACTGGTCTTCAATGGGCATACAAAAACCACATAATCAACTAATTCACACTCTTTTCACATAAATGTGTATATATATAGGCTGTTAATTACTTAGTGGACAATGGCCGTCCAGCCACTTCAAAGCTGAGACCGTTTTCTCTGGTTTTTTTGGCCTTTGAGCAGCACATTAAATCCATGTCTTGGCTTTTGTCTTTTGGCCCAAACACATATTTAGTCTGATTATTTTCTGTTGCTAAGTCAAGGAGTGAAATCCCTTGCCTTGGTCACTGTGTACTGCTTGTTGTTAGATGGTTTTTGTGGTCGCTGTGTGCTCCACTTTACGACAGCTGAGAATTATGTTTTTGACCCGCTTTGATATGTTTGCGCGCCGACAAGTATGCAATGAAAAGCAGTTCGAGTCCTTATCGTGCGGTTATACGCCCACTATCCATCCATTGCCTTGGCCAAAACCAGCTTTTACTTGCAAGCAGCCAACCGCAAAAGCCGCTGACAAGTTTGTCTCATTTCCGTTTTGACGGCCCCCGTCAGCTCCCAACCAGCTGTCGTGCAATTAAAGCCAACTTTTGGGCCACAGAATTTTTGCCATTCGTCAGCTTTAAACAGGAGCGGAGTTGACTTTAAAGCGGGATTGCTTACTTTGTATATAATTGGCTGAATTTCAGTTGAATTTCTGATTGTTTATTTAAGCAATTATTTAAATTTACTTTAACTTTAAACAGGAGCGGAGTTAACTCTAAGGCGGGACTGCTGACATAAGCTATAATTGGCGTAATTTGAGTTGCATTTTCAATTCTAATTGACTTCTGAATATATAAGTTTGCTCTCCCTAAACAGGAGCGCATTTTCTTTACAGTGGGTCTTGAGAATATAATTCCAAACCGCATCTGCCACTTGGATTTCCTATTTGCAAATTCTCTATTCGAATAATCAAAGCTTCTATGGTCAAGCTTCCACTACTAATAAATTCTTTTTCCATTATTATTTAAGCTGAAAGAGTTGCTAATTGAGTCCGCTCCCCTTCTTTATATAATTTCTGTATAATATATATATAGATATATATTATATATAACCTCTTTCTTGCTGCATCCGCTCCTGTTGCTCAAATAATAATTACAGCTTTTGCTATAATTGAAATTTTATTTTATGCGCTTCTCTCACTTTCCGCAAACTTTCAATCAAACGCCCCCTTTGCTTGCCGAATCCGCTCCTGTTTTGTAAGCAACCTTTCGACTCTCAACACTTGGCCAAGTGTCGCTGTCGTTGAAGCAATTGCAATGTGTGGCTGTAATGGCTGTAATAGCTGTAATTTTTGTTGTACTCGTATCGAGTACGTTCTACAAATTTGCATACTCAGCCGCAAAGTGTATGTTGTGTGTGTGTGTGTGCATAGTGGGTGTGTTATGTGGCTTGTGTGGGTGCCAAGTTATTGGCAAGTCAAGTGACTCGAACTTCGCCCTCACACGTTCGAGCCAATCGTCGAATCGATTATGCAGTTGTTGCATGCCACGCCCCCGCCCACCCACGTTAACTGGCCAACACTTAATGCTTTTGTTGCTTCTGCTGCTGCTGTTGATTCAGTTGCTTCGGTTGCTTCACTTTCAACAACACTTGAGCAATTTGTTTCGGCACGACTTTGCCTTCAATGTGGGTCAGCTGCAGCTGCGGCTGCGGCAGCGGCAGCGGCAACTCATTTGTTAGTCCTGTCTTGAGCGAAATTAAAAGCAAATAGCTGCAGTTGGCCGCGAGGCAGGTTGTATGCAAATTCCCTTAGCCCTGATAAGCGGCAATTTGAGTGCCGCAGCAGCAGCAGGAGCTGGAGCAGGAGCTGGAGATGCAGCTGTAGCTGCAGCTGCGGTCATCCATAACAAAGCGCCATATAATTATCAATAGAGTCAACAACATGGCTGCAGTTGCCTTCTATTGTTGGCTCGATTGTTCTTTATTTTATGTGCAGCTAGTTGCCCCGCGGCGTACATGCAACGTACCCACATGCCACATGCCACAGGCACTGCATAACGATAATATAATAAAGCTGCTCAGTTGAGAGCGCCCTACTGCGGCAACTATAAAAATACATTAAAAAGTATTTACTGAACAGCATCCCCCCTTGACAGCAGGCGAAGGGGAACGGAAGGGCGGCAAGGCGTGGCAGTTGCAGCTTGTAATGCCACATGCCACGTAATGGCTGCGACAGACCCAATCGCTGTGGTTATGGCAACCAAAAAACAAAGCCACATGTTGACAATGTTGGTCCTGCCTCCCCGCCCTTTTACAGTCCACAAATCATGCAATATGTAACCTCGCTCTGCCTCACTTGCTTTCCTTTCGTTTCCTTTCAGTCGCGTGCACATCACCAAGGAAACTCTCAAGTGTTTGGATGGCGATTACGAGGTAGAGGAGGGCAAGGGAGCTGACAGAAACTCCTATCTTAAGGATCATCAGATCGAGACATATCTCATAGTGCCAGGCGATATATACAGACCGGTAAGTGTTAGGGCTAAACTCCGCTTACCGCTGCCACAATATGCTTCATTGTCTTTCATGCTGCAGCACAAGAAATCGCGCAATCGCCTGCAGGTAAATGGCAACATATCCAAGGAGCTGCGCATGATGGGTCACGGCACGGCACAGAAGCACACATCCAAGTAAGTTGTGAACTATGTTGATGGAGGAACAAGTTTCGAAAAGCCTTCGATAGAACTGAGTGAAGCAGTTGAATGACAGGAGAAAGCGTGATTGAGAGGAAGAACGCACCTGTGGGAAATGGTGGGAATAGAGCTTGAGGCAGCTTAGGCTAAGCAGGAAATAATAGACAAAGATTGTAAAGAACTTTAGCTTGGAATACCTTCCAGCGATAAGCCTTCATTAAGACATTGCTAGAGACGTATTCATAGTCTCACCTTGAGCTTTGGCTTAGCGTCTTCGCAAGGCAAAACTATCTAACGAATTATGTTGCAGCTGTTAAGATTGTATAACCCAGTCTAGCTCAGCTCAGTTTCTAGCAGACTGCTTTCATTGCACTTCTCACATCACCCACTTCCTGCACAGATTCGGTTTCGGCGACAGCTCGGAGAGCCACAAGGATCCCGAGGATGAGGTCAATGAGTATTTGATGCGCGCCATCGATGCACGCAGCATCGATCATCTGCGCGCCGAGCATTGCCAATCGCTGTTATTGTGCTTCAAGAGCGACGCGTTGGAGCGCAAGGTAAGTGCATTGTACCCAGGTGTAAGCTGCGACTTAGCCCTAATCCTTTGTGCCACAAAACTCTAGTATGCCAGCGAACCGGATCGCATGCTCTGCGTTTACTTCTATTGCAGTTTGCTTGTGCTGCTGGGCACCACGCTGATGCGCTTTGTGGTTTTTGACACGTGAGTGGCTTATGATGAATTTAATCACTTATATATATGTATATATATATATGTAAATACTTGTTTGTTGTTTATTTTATGTACTTCCCTAGATCCCCACTCTGCTTCCTGCTGTCCATGTGCGCTTTGCTGCTGCTGCTTCTGCTGGTCTTCTTGGTGGCTGGTCATGAAATCAATGTGAAGGTTAGTCGAATAGCATAGCCTAAGACTAATCCCATCAATGTTTATATATTTTCTGTTTTTTCGCAGCTTCCGTTGTTGGTGAAGCGCTTCTCGTTGCGCATTCACAGTAATCGCACCTTGTCGCAGTTCTTTGCCTTTGCCACTGTTTCGCTGATTGTTTTGACCACGTTGCTGGCCATGGTAAGTAACGAATTGAAGCACTTAAGTTGTGCTTTTTACTTATAATAACATAAACAATGTCCAAATCCCTCAAATGGCAAATTCTTTGGATTTTGTTTGGTTTTGTTTCTTTTTTTTTTTCTGCATAATTTGTGCGCGCTACAAATTGCGTGCAGATCTGTATGAGATGTTGTGCTCTTTGGACATTTAAGTGAACTTCAAAATAATAAAAATGAAATTTAGGTTTTATTTTTTGTTTTGTAGCAGCTCAAATACAATTTTTGAGGGCGTTTGCATTGCGCGCTCCCCAAGCAGCTGCTGTTGTTGTTGTTGTTGCCTTTGGGACGCGACAAAACAAAAGTTTTTCCATTAAAGTTGTGCAGACAACACGACAAGCAACAATGAGCAGGGGGCTGTATGGCAGGGCGTGGCAGGGTAGGTTAACAAAAAGTGCGAGCCACGTTTCATACATGAATTGTGTGTGTGTGTGTGGGTTTGTGTGCCACTTGTTACCTGCCACATGGCCCCCAGGCGGGGCAACTCCGACTTGTGTCTGGGTTCAAAGCCAGCCGCCAGCATTTTGACATTTAGTTGTCAACTTGTGTCGCGTTCGCTGCTTCTCGCTCTGTGTTTGCTGGCCACGTTTAATGGCACTTTGGAGCCGCATTCGCTATTCATTTAGCCACGTTTTTATTTTTATAGCCATTGGCTGAGAGTGCGTGTTAGGCGCCTCGTTAAACTGAAGCAGCACTCGTTATGACACTTCCAGCTGCTAATTAGCTTTCAATTGTAATTGTTTTCTTTCTCCAGTTGCAGGAATCAATGCGTCAATTGGATTTGCTGCATAACGAATGGCTCTGGCTGCACCTGAACAGCAGCAGCCAGGTGGAGCAACTGGATCTAGAGCTGGAGCAGGAATTGCAGCTGCTGCCTGCGGCAAACTGTGATTTCTATTTTGCGTATAATGTGAGTAATGAATATTCTGGTGTTAATTAAGTTAGCTAAGGTCTGGAAGTGGAGCTGAAGTAGGCAGAGATAACAAGAGTAAATGTTGCATATAATTAGAGTTACATAAATAGCTTAAGGGAAAGGATATGGAACGATTTGAACTATGGCTGGGAAAGTGTGAAACCATTTGAAATACATAAATAATAATGGAACTGGAACTAGAATTGGAACTGGAAGATATACACATATGATATAGATGTCTAGCTAAGGCCAGAAGAAAGATTTAACTAAGGAATAGTTCAAGGAAAGCATAGTCTTCTAGGATATAACTATAGATATATATTTAATGTAGATCAAACATATATAACTGGCTAATGAAAGCGGCAAGCTGTTACTATAAAATATACATTCTATTGATCATCTACTGCTGCAAATTTCTTTACCTTTTGTACTCTTGTTCGTCTGTCTTGGAAAAATCACTTAACTCTTGCCAGAATAGTGTTTATTGCGCAGCAAAAATTTAATCGATTGCTGTTAAGTTGAGCTGTATCGATAAATATCGATTTTGTCTGTATATAACTAGAACTTTAGCATATAGCTAGACATATATTAGCTTCATATATAGCATACATGCTGCATTTAGTTGCAGCTTTACACATTGCTCAGCTTCACATGCTAAGAAATGTCTTAGCCTTTGCCTTGCCTTGCCATAGATTCACATATATAGCTTAACTTACTTTTGTTGCCACTTCTTTTTGACAGACATTTCTGTTGCTAACGCTGCTCTCGATGATGTGCTGTGCCACGTACCAAGTGCTGCGCATAGTGCTGAAGCTGCTGCTGCTGCTTTTGGCCGCTGGCAGCTACATGGCCTGCTCCTCGTATTTATATGTGAGCAGCAGGCAAATCAGCGCAGACTTGGCGTAAGTATGCCTCCCTCTCCCTCTCCCTCTCCCTCTCCCTCTCCCTCTCTCTCTGGTTAACCTTCTATCCCGCTCTTTTATCTTGCTGAAAACGAATTATGCCGTAATGTAATTTGGCGCAGCTTCCTCTTGGCCCCTGCCTGTTGGAATGTTGCAAGTGCATTTGCAGCAGCCGCAAACTGCATTAAAATTGTATTTAGCACTTGGCTTCATTTATCAGGGCAACCGAATGCCAGCTGCGACTTGGCATTCGCAACTACATTAACAACATTCTTTTCCTTATTTCCCTGCCCCTTGCGTTGGCTCCTCCTTGGCATTACGTCTTAATGGACTGGAATAACTTGGTCTACTGCTGCTGACTGCCGCCTGACGTCTGCAATTGTATAACTGAGCAGCAATGAGGAAGCCCTGCTGCGCTATATAATTGACTCAATCTTCCTATTTGCATTTATGCTCGCCCTGATCTTCCATAGCCATCAAACGGAGGCCACTTATCGCTTGGACTTCATCTGGAAGCTGCAGGCAACGGGTGAGTCTTAACGTCTTTTGCTGTGTTGAATTACTTTTTATATAAACTGGAGTTTTTCCAGACTTGAGCGGTTTAGAGATGTCCGATCTATAAATAGATATAGTTTTTTGTATTTGTAGGAGAAATCTTCTTAAGTTTGATTAACACTTTAGAAGGTTTCATAGGCTTGGAGTTCGAGTTTCAATCAAGTAGTCTCTTTCTCATCTTAAATTTGCATTAAAGCTTTATCGAAATTTAATTTCTACTGAAATTCCACTTTGTGGAGCCTAAAAAATGCTGTTCAACTCATTAGAGCTTCGTTACTTATTTTTAATATTGACTTGCAACTAATTAGCAAATGAGACTGCCGAGCTATATATCAAACATGTCTCGCTGTGTGACGGACGAACTGTCCGACCTTCTGTCTGTCTGTCTGTCTGTTTGTCTGGCAGCAACAACAACAACAGCCCTGTCCCTGGCCCGTGCAATAATTGTCGATGAGATGCGCTGATGCCAACGCTTTGCTGCTCATCTTTTGCGTTTCCATTTGCGCTGTTGTTCAACGAGCTTTTCATTAGTATTAGTGCAAACACACACACACACGCACACACACACACTCACACTCACGAGCACTCACACACGCAGCCTAATACAGTTGAACAATCAGACTCGTGTTTGACGGACGCTGTAGCTTATGCAGCGCTTTTTTACGCTTCTCGTTTTGTTGCCTCGTCCGTTAAGCATGCCAAAATGGGGTATATTGGGCTTGAGAGGTGATTCATAGATGATATATAACTCTGTTTAAGTTGGAGTGCCAGTTAGTTGAGAAAGGGGCTCTACTACTTATACGTGGACAGCTCAAAGACTCTTCCATGTAAGGGCAAATCAGATGGCATATAGATATATAGAAAAATATATTCATATATATATAATTTTTCACACCTTTGCTATTTTAATATACTTTATAAATATACTCAACTGTATTAGCTTAGTTTCCCATCATTCTTATAGTATACTCATATATGCTCAAGCTTTCAGACTTTTCCACATAAACTGAACCAGACACACATAATCTAGGGTAATCGCTAGTCGTGCACTGCCGACTGTTGCCATTCATTTCTCTTCTCGTTTCTTAGCTGTGCGCTTCACGCTTCGGTTAACTGATAAACTGATATTTCAATTTCACGCTCCTGTTTTTTCTGCTCTTCTCTGGTTCCCTTTTTGCTTCTTCTTGTTTTCCTTTATATTTTTTGTTTGTTTGTTTTTTCTCATTTTTTTTCTCTTTTTGTTCATTTGTGGAATGCAGAGGAGAAAGAGGATATGGAGCATTTGCAGGCTTATAATCGGAAACTGCTCGAAAATATTTTGCCCGTGCATGTCGCCGAGCATTTTCTGAGCCGCGAGAAGCATCTCGATGTGAGTATTAAAAAGCATTTTATATAACAAATATATATATATATATATATATGAATGCTTGTGTTACTGTAAATATAACTGTGTGTGTGGGTATTTGGTTGCTGGCAATTTGCGACGTATTTAAAAAGCTTGAAAACTTTTGTGCCTAGTAACAAGGGCAACTGCAGAGCACATCTGAGTCGAGCAGTGCTGGAAGGTGGACGTTTGTTAAGCATGCCAGCATCCAGCCTTCGTCTGCTGCCTTATCTGCACCTTCTCCTTCTGCTGCTGCCACACATGCCCGCTGGCCGCGACGTATATATATGTATAATATATAAATGTTGCGGCTTGCAACGCTTCAATGCGTAACGGGCACACGCATCAGCGTTGCGGGGCAGGCATTGGACCTACTTGCCACATTAAGTGTGCAATCAACAACTTTTAACCAAATCACATGAGCAGCCACACATTTTGGAACCGCCGACGTGTGGTCTGCTTCAGCTGCTCCCTGTGTGCGTGTGTGTGTGTGTGTGAGAGAGCTCTGGACCAAAGCTGACCGCGTTTCGTGCTTTCTTTCACGTCAAGGCTAGCACACAGGCTGAGCGCCCTCGCATTAACTCAATGCTTTAAAAACACTTCACTGAGAATTCATACAGAAATTAAGAAAGCAATATAAATATATTTAAATAAATATATTTAATAAAATAAATTTAAATAAATATATTTAATAAAATATATTTAAATAAAAAATAAAAACTCGAAGCAAATATGAAAGAAATAAATTTCTCAAGCTAAAGCTGCTTTTATACAATGGAAGATAAGAAGACGATCGAAAAGCCATATAGCTAACGATATGAGACGGGTTTTAGAAGAATAAAAGTGAGCTAAGCATATAAGAAATTTAATTTCTATCTGCTCGAAGCTATGAAGGCCATAGAAAGGCAATATAACTTAAATAATGAGAGGAAAAACTAACCTCAGCACAGCACGTATAGCAGCTAAGCAGTATATATACAAGTCATATATATATACATCCAATATGCACATCAATTTTATATATACTTCTTCCAATTTCACTCTGAACTTTCTGTGCACAGGATTTGTATCACGAGCAATGCGATTCCGTGTGCATACTCTTTGCCAGCATACCAAATTTCTCCGAGTTCTACGTGGAGCTGGAGGGCAACAACGAGGGCGTCGAATGTCTGCGTCTGCTCAACGAAATAATTGCCGACTTTGATGAGCTGCTGAGTGAGGAGCGCTTCCGGTGAGTGGGCGAAGGCGAGAGATTTCCTACAGAGTTATTAACATGGTTTGTCGCTTTGCAGTTGCATAGAGAAAATCAAGAGCACGGGCGCCACCTACATGGCTGCCTCTGGGCTGACGGCCAACACCTGCGACCAGGTGAACTTTAGCCATGTCACCGCAATGGCCGACTACGCGTTGCAGCTCTTCGACAAGATTGAGGAGGTCAACATGCACTCGTTCAACAACTTTCGCATGCGCATAGGTGGGACAGAGATGTGGCTGAAACTTTTTTCAAATTTAATTTCTTTATCCTCTCGTCAGGCATTAACATTGGACCCGTGGTGGCTGGTGTGATTGGCGCCTGCAAGCCGCAGTATGATATTTGGGGCAATGCCGTGAACGTGGCCTCCCGCATGGACTCGACGGGTCTGGTCGATCACATACAGGTGAGTTGAACGGCACACCTTTGTGTCGCTGTACAGCCAGACAAATGTCACTTAAAATAAATGAGCACGAGTTGACAGAGACGAGACGAGACGAGACTAGACCCCAACTAAAGGCGAATCATAACTTCTTATTGCCATAACTTTCAACAGCAATAACCACAATTGTTAGAAGTTGTTAACTGCTTTAAACTGGCATTCAAATGCAATTTGCAAACCAAAAGTTAAGGCTTTTTATCTCAAATTGATTGTATTTCATGCAGAGCGCTCGGGTCGCTCACAGCTGCTTGTGTGGGTTGAACTAACGAAAGGTCATCTTTCACCTGAGGTCGCTTCTCTTTTATCAGATTCCTTAGCCATCCAATGTCACTTAAAAGCAATGAGCAAGGCTGCAGCTGACTGCATGACTAGGCAGATGCCCTGTAAATTCTTTTATATAGAGTAACATACAAAGTTGAAAAGTTCTAAAATAAGTGTAGTGAGATTATCATAAAAATTAGTATGACTTTAGTTAAGCATTCAGCGTTGTGTGTCTGCTCAAAGTTCAGATTTCTTATATTTCCCGAGCTAAGGCTGTAGGGAGGCAGCGTGACTGAGCTGCAATGCAAGTAAAGTTCAGCTTTCAACTGAGCATTGCTTTTTGTGTCGAGTTGCTTAGCCAGTCAAATGTCATTTTAAATAAATGAGCTCAGCAGCGAGCCTAGACTGAACAACTAAGCGAATACCCTGTAATTTATCTTAACTTTTAGACTTTTTTAGATGCTTTTCCCAGCTGCTTTAGTCTTGGACATTGTCTCCTAATTATTTCAAGCTATGTTTAATGAGTCGCAAGACTTAATAGTGCTCGAGTCCCTGGCTCTGCTCTACTCAGTCCTCTTTGCCCGCTTAATTCGATCAGTGGAAAGCATAGGTTATGTGAGCAGAACTTGTCTATAGCTGGGTAGCCCAGGCCGCTCCAATCAATAGCTGCCCAATTGGGCAACAGGCTGCTGCAGACACACCCACCCACACAGCCTTATACACATATTGAGTATACGCCTTGTGCGCCTCATACAATTTTCATGGGAATTAGAAAGTGCCCACGCACTGAAACTTAAACACACACACACACACACACTATCCTAAATAAATATACGTGCACACACCCACACACAGCTGCCGCATTTGATTTTATTTGCCGTGCGTCGCCGATAAAAGCGAAGCGCACGAAAATTTGCAAAGAGAAATAAATTATTAAGCGGGACAAGGGATAATATTATAGAAGACGGACTGACGACGGCGGGGGGTTATCTGAGTGTTATCATGAAATATTGAGCACAGGTTGCGCCACTGATTGTGTGTGTGTGTGCGTGTGTGTGTGAAGCAAATGCTGCTGCTGCTGCTGCACGCTTTGCCAATGAACTTGTCACTTACAATTTATTTTATTATCTTTCTTCAACTCTCCCTCTCTTTCGCTCTCTCTGTTTTCACTCTTATTTGCTGCTGCACGTTTCGTGTCCCAAATGAAATCAATACCTGCGTCCAGGTGACCCAGGAGATGCAGCAGCTGCTAGAGTGCCGCGGCTACGAGCTCACCTGCCGCGGCAGCGTCAATGTCAAGGGCAAGGGCTCCATGATAACCTATTTTCTGAAAGGCAAGGCACAGCAGCCGACGCCCGCCATGCCCGTGGAGGCCTTGGCGACGGCCGTCGGGGAGAAGATGCCAGCGGAAGCTGACAAGACGCCAGTGATTGAGACTGTTGCTCCGGCCACAGTTGAGCCACCAGACGATGTGCATGTGGACGAGGACGACGAGGAGGATGACATAGACTTGAATTCCAATATGCAAAACTTGACGGCGCAGCGGCGCAAATCTCTGTGCCGACAGCACAATATCTCCTCCTCGTTCGGCACCAATGTCAGCTCCACGGGCATCACGCCCAGCATCTCGAACAGCTCCAGTGTGGTGACAATTGGCGCGCTGCCCGTGCTGCTGCGCAATGCGAATCAAGCGAATGCCGACAGCTGTGCCACGCCCACAGCGCCCAGAACCTTGGTCGCTGAGCTCAAGGAGGAGATCGCACGGGACGAGAAGAGCGCACTGAAAGACTCCATTGAGAATCTGGAGATTCTGCTGAAGAACAACATCAGCCTCTCGGATCTGAGCAACAAGCAGCAGCAGAATCTGCGCAGCGAGGGCAGCTGCAGCAGCTCGGCGACGACGACGCTGCGCAAGCGAGACACCATCGTTAGCTTCCACGTGACCGAGACGCTGACCACGACAGCTGCGTATGTGCAGCAGCAGCAGCGCAAGCGCCGCTCGGTGAGCACCATGGCCGCCAGCTGCACCACCAGCTGCAGCAGCACCATCACCACCCGGCTGCTCTCCAATGAGAGCCAGAGCTCGGCACACACAGCGCCCGGCACGCTGGAGAGCGGCGAAGCAGCCGGCGCTGGAGCAGACGCCACTCAATGCCAGGCGCTGGATTGGCAGCCGCGCACAGCCAGCCTGGAGCCGAATCGCAGTCCCATCAAGACATCCCAATCGATGAGCCCCATCGGCCTGGCCACCGAGGTGTTCGTGCTGCCCAACAGTCGCAGCATGATCCTCATCAGCAGCAGCAGCACTGGCAGCAGCCCGGGAGGCGCCGGCGGCGGATTGGCACCAGCTGGAGGCAGCGCTCAGCGACCAGGGCTGCTGCAGCAGGTTAGCACGTAAACAGCAGCTGTTGGTTGATGGCCAAACTAAATGTAAATATGTATAAAATGCAGTCGAGTAGAGGGAGCAACGGCGTTGCCAGATCGTCGAGCTGCTAGAAGAGTAAAAGATTAAGAAGTTTTACAGATGTAGACAGCTCTAAAAGCTGCCTGTTAGCATGCTACAACATTCAGGCGTGTTCGACTAGACACACAGTCGATTCTAGGTTGACAGCGTTGCCAGATCGCCAGGCGGCTAGAAGAGTTAAGTAAAGAAGAGATGGTTTATAGAGCTCTGAGAGCTGTTTGTTAGCATGTGGCAACATTCAGGCATATTCGACTAGACACACAGTCGATTCTAGGTTGACAGCGTTGCCAGATCGCCGGGCTGCTAGAAGAGTTAAAACGCAGATTATATAGTTAAGAAGTTGAAAACTGCTTAGTTTTGCATGCTCCAGCAGTATTTTTTCTCTCTCTACCTATCAAGCACCCTGACAACGAGGGCATATCCGACTAGACAAAGCGGCGTTGCCAGATAGTCAGGCTTAGCGAGTTAAGAGTTGTTTAGTCCGTCTCCCAACTATTCCTATTGATCTCGCATTTGTTGTTTGTTGTTTGTTCCGTTGAGCAGCGAGGCATATCCGACTAGGCTGACTACCCTGCATATCACAGCAAAAAACGAATTTCGAACCGAAAAATAAGCTGTTGCCATAGGCTAGAGTTATGTATAGTTAAATAAGGGGAGCACTATGTCCAGGTTCCTATATAAATATATATATATATATATATACTATTTGTAGCTGTTAGTAGCGCAACTGTACTCCATCTACAGGGTATACAAATGCAGCAATTTCTAAGCTTTGTTACCATCAAATGTATCGAAACTTTATAGACATGTGACTCGAGTCAATTTGTTAGCTCTAAAGAGAAAGTGAAAGATGTTGAATCTATATAGAATTCTGTTATGATATGAGGGTAAATCAAATCGAACTCGCAGTTGGAACTAGAACTTTAAACTAACCAAAGCTCAAAATGTTAAAGCGCTTTATGTGTGTGTTAGACTTATATGTGTATATGTGTGTGTGTGTGTGTGAGAGAGAGAGAGTGTGTGTGTCTGTGTGCGTCTCAATGTTGCTGAAAAAACAACACTAAATTTTAATATAAAAACTAACTCTATGTATTATATAAAGGAATACCTAAAACTAAACTAAACCAAAGAGCAGATATACCGTATAAAAAGAAGATAAAAACAAAAATCAATTCTCGCTGTGATTTCTATTATAAATGTATAGATTATTTTATAGACTTGCGTTACATAGTTTTAGCTTGAAGACTCAAGGAGAAACCCGAAAGAGTTCGAAATTGTAATTGAGAAAACATTTATCTTCGACTTGAAACTATAATTTAACTAAGTTTTGCTACAAAGCTCCTCTATATATATAGTTATATATATATAAATAAGAAACATATATCAAAGTACAATTTGTGTCAATTTCAGTGGAAATGTTAAATGTTTAACGTAGTTCGCAGTTTGATTCATTTTCAACTCAAACTCAAACTCAAACTAAAACTCAAGATTCAAATTCAAATTCAAATTCAAATTTAAATTCAATGTTAATTACTGTAAATGTGTGTCGCAATAAAATTGTTGTTAATAAAAAGCATTATTTAACATTTATTATGCAAATGTATTTACAGCAAAACGAAGCGGCGCCAATTTCTGCCTAGATCTTGCGCGCGCGGCGCCAGAGGAAGTAGTAGCCCAGCAGATGGAAGCCGAAGTAGATGCCGACTATGGCCAAGAGATTGCGATAGAGGTTCGCCTCTATGAAGCTATACTTGTCCAGCACATCCTGCCCGGTGTGGAAGCAGGGCAAATCAGCGCTCTCTCCAAAGCAGGCTGTGTGTGAGAGGGCGAGAGAGAGAGAGGGAGAGTGGGTTAGTTGAGCTGGCAGCAGGAGTATGTGCTCCTCTCTCACTCACTTATGTTCTGCACGCCTGACCATTGGGCAATTGTCATGGCCTCGTTCGCATAGAGCATCCAGGATAGAAACTGTGTCCAATAGAATGCCACAGGCAGCGAGCTGTGAAAATGCAGTGGGGAAAAGCAAGTAAGCGAAGCAAGTCTAACTAGAATATACCCTGTAATGCTATTAATTAACTATCAACGAGAGTTCAGATGCCAAATCTAACTCCGAGATATGTTTAAAAAGAAGACTAACTAGCATACCCTGTCATTCTTTTATCTGAGTTTTCGAACTCTCTTGGTCTTTAGAAAATATCGTGAGTGAGTGACTAACTGGAATATACCCTGCAATTCGTTTATCTATCTGTCAAAGTGAGCTCACATACCACATTAAAATTGTCTAACTTCGAGCTATTCTCAGCTCTAATGTACCCTGCAATAGTTTACCCTAATTATCAAGGAAGTCATTTCTTATGGTCTTCAAATTGCGCTTAAGCCAAGACGCCAAAGCGATTACTGTTGAGGGAAGTATATAATCGATAGATAGAATAAGAAAGGATTGAAAAGAGTATATAGGGATTAACATATAGACTTTGAGAGCAGCGAATAAATAGATAAAAGATATACGCTAAGATAGACGAGGTATGTCAAGTCAAACTATAAATTAGTATGCAGCTTACTTGCTTAACTGCTGGCTAATGAGGTTTACTACAACTCTAGATAGTTAGATATTCCAGGCCAAGTGGACTTCAGTCATTGTCCTCATCAAGTATACGCCTCTTAGATACACTGCCAACCAAACAAACGAGCGACACTCCTGCCTTCCTTCACTTCATCCGACTTATATCCCACCTAATCTTTTCACTTCCTCTCACACACACACTCCCTGCATAAAAAGTTGTACAGGGTACGTCCGAGACTAAGAAAAGGTCTCTATTCGAAGCTCTTCACCTTACCTAATTTTGATGAAGATGCCCGACGTAATCATGATAATGTAATCAAGCGGCACGAGATACGCCATCGCCAGCGGCACCGAGTTGAAGGCCGTGGAGAAGAAGCAGCCGCAGGCGGTGGCCACATTCATCACCAGGACAACGCAAATGGCCGTAATGCCGAAGGCATACAAGGTGGCACGCAATCCTGTTAGCCAATAGCAGATGACGACGAACAGCAGCGGCTCGATAATCATGCCAGGCAGCTGCAAACAAACCAGAGGCAGCAGATGATGATGATGATGATGATGATGATGATGGCAGACAATGACTTACCATGGCCAAAATGTTGGCGACGTAGTACTGAGCCGTGGTGTACAAGCCGGAGCGGGTTTCACGCATGAAGAGCGGAAAGCCCTGAGGGAAGATGTTCAGCGCGGAGTACATGGGATGGTAGGTGTTCTCCGATATCATGATGAAGATGGTGCCCTGCAAGCAGACGAACGGAGTGGCAGCTAGTGCAGACCAAGGTAAGCGACATTTGAACCCACCTGCACCGCCTGCACGCCCAGCTGCGTTAGCTCCGTGGTGCCCGCAAAGCAGGCGCCAATGATGAAGGCCATGGCCATCTTCTGCAGAAAGCGCATCCACTGTATGGTCGGGTCGCGTAGCAGCGTCAGCGAGGCACGCAGCCAGACGACATGGAAGCGTTTGTACCAGGCGACGCCCTGGAAGGAGTCCAGTTCCGTATCGTAGGGAAAGTTGCCCGACTGCGCCATGTGAATCTCCAAGTTGACCAACATATCGCGCTGCTTGGCCGCCGAGCTGACGGCGAACTGATCGCACAGATGCTGCGCGGAGCGCTGGGAGGCCTGCTCGTAGCCGGGATCTGTGGCCAGCACGCCAATAAGAAAGTCCGCCGGATTGTACGCCTCCGGGCAATAGTAGCCATGGTCCGCAAAGAAGCTCAGCGCATGCTGCGGCGATCCCGTGAAGGCGACACGCCCATCCGCCAGCAGCATCACATTGTTGAAGTTGTCGAAGAGCTGAGAGCTGGGCTGCAATAGAGATGGGCATTGGAGCGGCAGATGGGAGTGGAACCAGGACTGGTTGATTACCTGATGAATGGTGCATAGGATGGTGGTGCCCTTCTGTGCCAGCTCGTGCAGCGTAGCCACCAGCTGCTGGGCGCTATACGAATCGAGTCCCGTTGTGGGCTCATCGCAGAAGAGAATCACCGGATTGTTGAGCAGCTCGACGGCAAAGGCCAGACGCTTGCGTTCACCGCCAGACAGAACCTTCTCATCGTCTCCGCTGCCAATGCGCGTGTGGGAGGCGGAAAGCAGACCCGTGCGCTCCAGCAGCTCCTTGATGATCAAGCGACGCTCTTCGCTGGAAACGCGCCGATCCAAGCGCAGATGGGCCTGCAACCAAGAGAAGCTGTACAAGTAGCTAGCAATGAGAACTGCCAAAGTTATCGCACCATAAAGTTCAGATGCTCCAGCACAGTGAGCGAGCCTATGAAGAGATCGTCCTGATAGACATAGCCGCTGATGCGATGCATAAAGGGACCAACGCGCCGGCCATTGATCAGTATATCACCTTGAACCACAGTGCCAGCTAAGGGGAAATAGTTCATGCAGCCAGATCTAGTGAGTGCTTATCTTATCGGCGCATATAACTCACCTGGCTGCCTGTAGCCCAGTGTTGACATTAGCGTCGTCTTGCCCGAGCCACTGTGAATGAGAGGTGGGAGATGAGTTGCCATTAAGTTGGGCGCGAAAATAAAACTACACATATTTAGTGGCCGCTAAGCCCTGCGCTTATCAGTCAAAGATTAAGATGCTAGCCATAACCCAGTTAGAGGAATTTTTCTGGTCTTGTTCCACTCTGACGCAACTATATCGATTACGCTTGGAGGTGCGCTGAGGCGTAGCTTGAACTCGTCTCACCTGGCGCCCATCAGAGCCATCAGCGAACCGGGCTGCACCGCGCCCGTTGAGTTGTTAATGATCCGCTTCATGCCACGCCCCGAGCCCACATTCGTGTAGACACACAAGTCCCTCCAAACGAGCGTCGCGCCCTGCTCCACGGGCGACCATTTGCTGTAGCTGCGCAGCGGCAGGCTGCGCTCTGAGCTGTTGCGCTTGGAGAGCTTCGGCGTGGTGTCCAGACTGGCATTATCACTGGAGCTGCCGTTGCCTTGGCCAATGCGCACCACCTGCAGCTCGTGCTGTTCCAGCCGCCTGCTATCCGTATCTGACATATTTTATCTCTTTTCTTTCTCAAACAGCGTCCGCAGCTCACGAGGTTATCGTTCGACAGCTGCTTCTCAACTAAACTCAACTAAGCAGAGCGACAGGCAGCAGCGACAGGCCAGCGATTGCCACTACAGTCTGCACTCGTTACTGTGGCTAGCCGCATTTGATCTTTGTCAGGGTTAGAGCGGCTGGGCGTGGCAGCAGCAACGACTAAATAAGCTGCAGCTCGGGTTACCTCCAGGCCTTGGGAAGCCCAACAAGCCGCCATCCAGACAAGCGCTCAACCAGCAAAGGGGGAAAACCGCGCATAGCAGAAGCAGTGAAAATTGCATAAAAAAAGTAAAGAAAATTTCAATAAATTATTTACCTAACTGCACTGAGAAAAATCAAGTGCAATCAATTGTATTTCATTCACTAAAAAGTATAATTCTTTAGCTGCATAAATGTAGCACATTTTTGGGTCCAGCCTAAAAATTCGCTGCAGAATCGTCAGCTGAATGCATCCACGAAAGTTGAAACTTACATTTTTAGACTCCACCCTACGACATAAAAGTTACATTTATTGGGCAAATTTTTGCGTTCAGCCTAAAGATCTACAAAAATATAATATTTAAGCGCCGTCAATTGAGTACTTTTTGGGTCCAGCCGAAAAATCTGAAGTTTTCGCCTTGCTAGATAACCATCTGCTGAATGTACCCACGAAAATTTGAATTTATAGCGGCACCAATTGTGCACTTTTTGGGTCCAGCCTAAAACCCCAAATTTGAGCACACGGCATGTTTTCCAATACCGCACAAAAGTATGCTGCTTTAAAAGCATTCCAATTAAACATAATTGGTGCAGCCCAAAAGTATGCTGCAACATTTACTATGGCGCAGTTTTAATTCGACGCGCGAAAGTATGCTTTACAATTAAATCGAATACAATGCATCAGTAAAGAATATTAAGCAATTTAACTTTTGCTGCCATGCTTTATTTATTTGATTTTACTAAAAACTTAACTTCAAAAATATATAAATTTTATTTTTAAAAATGTGCCAGGAATGTTGTGTGTAGTTGTGGTACAACGAGAAACTGGCTAATATCCTAGAGTTGTGCTGAGGCAGCATCTGCAAGTAGAAGATAATATAAATTAATTAATTTCGTGCTAACCTTAAATTTTCTAAGTGTAAAGCGAGACTTTATAATTGTATGTTATACTGCGTGCTTCTGCTAGTGATTTATTGATTTTTGATGAGCTTTCCAACTACTCTCATCTGTGATCTTAGCTGCTCTCTCTCTCTCTCTCTCTCTTTCTCTCTTCATATCGTCATGTTAAACTGTTCACTGAATTAGTTCCTTCCACACTCTAACAGCGCAGCCGCAGCTAGGACCTCAGCAGTGTCACTGCAACGGTAATGTTTCTCTGTTAAGAACGAACTCTGTTAAGTTCAAAGCTCATGTTAGTTTATGGACAGTTGCAGTTGCATAGAGTTCATATGGTTTTCTGTTCATACGGAGGTTCCTTTACATGTTGCTTGCATGCGGTCCTATAAGCGTATATGTTATCTGCCTTGTGTACTTGCTCTCGTTGTTTTAAGAGATCAAATGGAATGATAAAGGCGACAGACTAACCCAATCTTAATAACCTGATAATCATGAATAAACAAAATACATATAGCTAAGGTAAAGACTGGAAACTCTGTGTTTATTTGCTTAATTAAAGTACTAGTATAAAATTTGCAGTAACTGCCTGTACACACTCTTCTCTTTCAGCTGCTTAAAATGAAAACTAAAAAATTTCAACAAGCTGGTATATATACATGCACACATATGTATATAAATAAATATATATGTATGTATTTGTATATTTTTATGTATCTGTATAAGTGTCGCTAATCGTATGAGTGCATGCAACTAGCTCTATCAACGCTACTTGATACGTGTAGAATATAAGACGCATTCTTTAGCTTCACCTATTGGCAGTTGTTTGAGAGCGTTTTAGTCGCGCGGTACGCTGTCGTCAATGTGTGTATAACACCGGGAATTCTAGGCAGAGGCTGATCGAAATGTATAAACAACAAGTGAAGTGCATTGTCACGAAATCTTACTTACGGCAAGCCGAAGATTAAATCCCCTCTACTCAGAGTGCTTTGAAGTTACACCTCGTTGTAGCTACAACAATTGCGAATATGCCCTATCTGATTGGGGATCTTTGCCCCTTTACATAATCCATAACAAATTTTATGGCCGTCGAAAATCTAATTATACGTCAAGTTTAATCAACTTTAGTGCTAGAAAGTGAAATTGGAATTGAAATTAACAAAAAAAAGGTAGGGTTTAAACTGACGTGTTTCGACTGCAGCCTATATACATTTGTATTCATGAAGTATACTGTTTAATAGTGTCTGACTATTGGCATTATATAGCAGAGTGCGATCAGAAATCTCAGCTAGCGCCTAGGAAACAGTTATCGTTATCATAGAGATACTGATACTGACTTTTAGGGTATCCTAAATTCTGTGTCTTTATCAATGCTTCTTAGCTTATCAACCAGACACCAATGACCCAGGCGGATAGCGCGTTAACAACAGGCAAAAACAAAATAAAAATAGGGCTTAGATAAGCTTAGCAGTAAAGTTAAAAAAAACCCTGCAAACGCGCGTACTAAACCAGTTTTAACCAAATTGAATATAAATAGTACAAATAGTAAACAATTAAGTTTCGTTCGATTAACTTAATTATATAAAGTGAAAAAAAAAACCCGATACGTGCATATCAGTAATCTCTGTCTATTGGCTTAGCGCGAAACAATTCAAATTTTTAAAAGCTCGAAAAGCTTTGCTCATGCAGAGCGAGCACATTCTGAAAGCTTTTATGCTAAAGCATTGACTTTGCTCACAGGAACTACAAAAACCGAGCAAAGTAAAACGAAAAAAAAAAAACAAATTAATCCATAGAGCAAACTAGCAACAACAAGCGACACGCTGCTGAGAGCTCGCAGAGCAGTAAACGACGCTCAACTGAAATGAGCGCTACGGAGGTGAGTCCGTCTTGTTGAGCGATATTTTTTGACATTGCGCGTATTTTGTTATGTGTTGCTAAATTTAAGCAAAAGTTTTCAAGAGAACAAGAACACAAATCGAATTCATATCGAATCTAAAGCAAACATATGCGCGCGTTCAGTTATGTGATTACCATTACGTATATTGTGCCAATAAGAAGCGTCCCAACATCTGCTGCTGCGTGCAGCATTTACTGTACTAAACGAGCAGCACCAAAAAGCTCACACATACATACAGATATGTATGTGTGTGTATGTTCGTGTAAACATTAAAAACGTATGCATGTGTTATGTTGATAGATCTACGCGAAAATTAAGCTCAGTCACGACTCAATATTAAAAGCCTTGCTTTCGTAAAGAATATTGAGACGAGGGGTGCTTTTAATATTGTGAAATTAACAGTACTAATTATTAATATAAATAAAAATATTTATTTTTATAAAATATACATACATCTACATGTGCATGTTCTTCGTAGAAATAATTTCTTGCTTGAAAACAAACACTTCCAATTAATATTCATGCACACATTTCTTGTTTTTTTTTATTCTGAAAACTATTGAACAATCATTTTTGTTTATCAGCACTGTATGCAGCGTCGATAATTCATACAAGTTGAGGGGAAGCAGTCGCAACACATGTGCATATAATACAGCGTTACCGGTTTCAATTTGTACACTAACAAAACCATATACCACAATCAAGCTTAAATTTAGCGTCGGACACTGACGTCATTGGAGAGTGTATGTCAACGTGCTCAGTAAAAGCTCTCTCTCTCTCTCTCTCTGGTAAAGCACTCACTGCTAAGCTGTTGTGAGTGCGACAGGCTTAATAACACAATACACTCAATAAGCGTATGCGCTCTCTCTCTGTCTCTCCTTCTTTTTTTTCAATTATGAACTTGCAAATCTGTTGCATATTTTTAGGGCTACTCAGAAAATGCGCGACGCACAAGCATTGCCAGCAGCTCTGGGGGAAGCAGCGTCAGCAATGCCATCGCCGTTACGGCACAGCGGCGCAGTCTCTGCCAATGGCTGATGAACTTCATCAGAAACATTTCAGTCGAGCCAACCATGTTCCTATATATGTTCGCCTTTATGATCACCTCTGTGGTGGAGCAGAACTTCTTTTTGCAAAAGGCCTGCCGTGTCAATAATAAGCTAAGCGACGACATCTGTACGAATATCCATAAGAAAGGAAACGAAGAGTATAAGAAACAGGTACTGGACACCACAGCCTGGTTCTATCAGTGGGAGAATATCGCGGCGCATGTTTTCCCCATTATCTTAGCATTATTTCTAGGATCCTTTTCGGATCGTCGCGGTCGCAAGTTGCCCCTGCTGATGGGTCTGGTGGGTAAGTTCATCTATTCCACGATGGTTGTGGTCAATGCCAAGATGTCCACCTGGCCGGTGGAGTATATAATCTATACGGCAACGTTGCCATCGGCCATAACTGGCGCTGATGTGGCCATCTTTGCCTCCTGCTTTGCCTACATATCCGATATAACGACGTTGCAGCAACGCACCATTAGGGTGACCATATTGGATGTAGTCTATTTGACTGCGATGCCAACGGGCGTAGCCCTCGGCTCATACCTCTTCTACAATGTATTCAATGAGTCCTATGCGGATATGTTCGCAGTGAACGCAACGCTCCTGCTGCTTGCCATCATCTACACGCTGCTGGCTCTGAAGGTGAGTTCCGGCTGCCCGAAGAGAAGTCTCAATTGCAACCTCTGTCTCCGTTTCCGTTCTCTTCATTCAGTGGCAAACGACACCCAATCAGCGCTCGCTGCGTGAATTGGGCTGCTGTGGCTTTTGGGGCGATTACTTTGATCGGCAGCACATCAAGGACTCCATAGCGGTGCTCACCAAGCCTCGACGTGGTCACAGACGCAGCTTCCTCTACATCCTGCTCATTAGCATGGCGCTCTACACCTTCCAGCGGGACGAGGGAAACTACTTGTATATGTACACATTCGACAAGTTCAACTGGCAGGTTGGCTCCTACAGCACCTTTAAGACCTTCAAGTCCTCGGCGTTTGTCATTGCAATGCTCCTGGCTGTGCCGTTGATGAATAAGCTTCTCGGCTGGCGAGATACGGTGGGTGCTCTCGACTTCCTTCTGCCAACTCGCAGCTCTATTCAGTGCCTTTGCAGACCATCATCTTCATTGGCACCTGGGCACACGCCATTGCCCGTTTGTTCTACTACTTTGCGCCTAGTCCTACGCTGCTGTATGTCGGCGCCGTTGTCTGCAGTCTGGGTCCCATAGTTGGGCCAATGATACGCTCGATGACGTCCAAAATAGTGCCCCAGTCGGAGCGCGGCAAGGTCTTTGCTCTGCTCTCCGTTTGCGACAATGCAGTGCCCTTCATCAGCGGCGTTTGCTACTCCCAGATCTATCGGGCGACGCTCAAAACGAATCATGGAGGCGGCATCTTCCTCCTAACCCTGGCCACACAGCTGCTCGTCTTTCTGCTGGTGCTGTAAGTAAGCCCCATTAACTAATTGAGTTCTATTTAAGCTTTGCTTTCGCAGCTGCATCCACATTGTGCTGGGCAGAAGTTCCTTGGCTGTGCCCGAGGTGCCGGAGAAGGAGAGTGGACTGATTAGGCACGAGGATGTGCAGGCGTCCACAAACAATGCGGAGCAAGCAACTCATTGAGTTCAACAACTATCTGTGTTTTAAGCTAATAAAAGACAAGCAATTTTCTATTTTTAAACTTGGCCTCGACTTGCATTGACCCTGCCACTCAGTGATGCAGCTCAAGCTCTCTATCTAAGCTGGCCAACTAAGGTACATATATTCTTCAGCAGCTATAGATCAGCTCCTTGAGCTCAACTACTCCTAGCTTGAGGCTAAAAATTTCTATTTTCAAACTTACCTGCTTTACTTATTCTTGGAGAGCGTGCGCTGCTTCTCGGCATGCTCCACCACTTGTTCGTCCACAAAGAGTCCTTTGCGCCTGCGCACACTGTCCATGTAGAGCTTGGCGCGATTTGCTGAGTCGGCCTTCTCGCCAAAGTGCATTAGTTCCTCCTCGGTTGTGGGCAGCCAGAAGGGATCAATATCAATCACCTGCCAAGAAGTAGAAGAAGAAGCACGCAGATCTGTTTTGAGTAAGTTTTCCAGGAATTCATTTGGGCACAAAACGGAATCGAAGGCGGGCCACTTGAGCGAGGACAATAGGGTATATACGACGGCGTCGCTGGGTCTATGCGCCTGCGCCTGCGCCTGCTTTACGTGATATTTTATGAGTGTGCGAGTGTGCGTGTGTGTGTGTGCTGGCAATCAGGGAAAGCGTGCATTTTCACATCTTCATTGTTACGCTCGAGTGCCTCGAGTGTCCCGTCTGGAAAGACATTCAAATGGCTGTTGCGCATCCTTAATGACTTTTTCAATACCAAGTGGGATAGAAAGGACACAAAGGCGTTCGTTGCGTGATAAGGCACGCCAGGATACGCAGAATTTTAGTGAATGGCGTGAAGTATTTGCCAGTGATTGATGATTGCCAACCAGCACCAGCAGCCAGCAGCCAGCAGCCAGCACCAGCAGCCAGCCTGCTTGTGTTTTGTTGTGCACAGCAGGCGGGTGTCGAGCCGCGTTGTTTTTGTGCTGCTTCTGCGGAACGGCTGGCCCCTAACGAAAAGCCAGCTCAATGCCAGGAACTTTGCTTTTGTGAATAGCTTGAGTGAAGAGTTGCAACAGGATTTGGTTTCAGTTCGTGCGCAAAGAAACTTTTGTTAACTATGCCCTGTACAAAGACTGAAGAGGGGTCTATTAGCACAGGAGTGTGACAGCTAGAAGGTCACTGTGATGAGTTCGAAACTAACTTTTATAGTCAACTTGAATTTATCTTGGATCGCAGCGATTTAATCATGGATATTTGTCTATCCCAGCTGGCATATGAGGAGCATCGCAAGGAATCCCTGTCCAAAGAGTGCGCTTGAGATGACTGCCTTTCACTTGGACAATCTCTAATTGCATGTTGTAGCTGTAGCTGTGCCCTTACCCAAGGACCAGTGAAGACCATCAGAAGCTATTACTGAGTACTTGAACATCCCATCTTCTCTCCATCTGCTCGCCTTCAACTCTAGCTTAGAGGTTTCTTATCTCAATCTATGCACAACTTATTCAAGCTCAACCCTTTACAGAGCATGCGCTAGTCGAGCATACTCTATTTGAGCACTTTTACTTGTTCTCTTAGCAGCATCTGTTCGCACTACGCTAAACTGTGCTCCCAGAGCCCCAAATGTAGATGATTATCGGGCACAACGTTTCGCTTGTTTAACAACAACGAACAAGGCCAAGGCAGAGGCGCAGAGCAGGAGCCGAGGGAAGCAAGCGAGGAGCTGGCTGCAGCAGTAGCCAACGTAATCTGCAAAGACGACACGCGGTCCAGGCCAAGGCAGGGCAATCCCCAGCTACAGCTCAAGCTGTTGTTGGCTATCCTTCTGCACATGCGCACAAGCAGCTAGCAGGCAACGCTGCTTTCCCCAACGCACAACGGTTCGTCAAGTTGAACAACACAAAAGAATTCAAGCCCTTTGGCAGCTGAAGTGCTCCAAAAGTGCGCAGCGCTTGCGTCTGAGCCGGTCCAGACAAATGAGCAGCGATCGGCAGCATACACTGAGAGAAACTAAGCAAAGCAGAACAGGATTTGAGTGCCTTGAGAGGGGCTAAACGGGTAGAGCCAAGCATGATTCAAATGAGAGAATGAGCATCAAAAATATATAATAAGAAGACTATATTCATGTGGTAGTTAGGTCAGTGTTGCAGGCGAGATCACGGTCCATAAGAAACGCCCAAACAAATCCAGGTTTATAGAGCATAGAAGCCAGCTTTAGTCAGAGAACTTCTTCAAGAACTGAAACTAAGAACTAAGCAGAGGTTTTAGATGAAAATATCATCATCATATCATCATATACGAAAGTTGCTCGATCTTAAAGTTAAAAGAAGATGGAAAAGCAGCAAAAACAAGTCTAAAATATTATAGGAAATTCTTAAGTCAAGTAATACTCAGCTAAAGCTCATAGAGTTGGCCCAGCTGTAGGATTTTTAGAGTTAGCAATGAAATCATAGAAGGAGCTTGGCATACCAAAGAGATTCCCTAAGACTTAGTGCCCAGGAGCACATCTTAATGCTGCTACGATACATAGCCTATGTGATTCCATATATTTCAGTTTCTTACATGTGACTTGATACTGCTCGTGAAAGACGAAACACGCGAGAGACGCGTGAGTCGGATACTCTCGACTGATTGTTTGTATAAGCGTACGTACGTATGTGTGTGTGCGTGTGTGTTTGAGTATGTTTACCTGTCCGCATGCAGGTAATTTACGCGGCAGCTACCGAAATACGCGCAGCGCTGAACAGAATTGGGAACGAGGCAGAGGAAGGGGCAAAAAAAAATAAAATATATATATATATATATAAGCAAAGTGCGGCCCGCAGTTGAGATTATTATCGCGCGCCAGAAACAGAGCCACAGCCACAGCCACAGCCAGAGGCAGAGGCAGCCAGAGTGCTGCGAGCAGCAGCAGCAACACAAATGGAACGTCCGTTGCGCATGCGCTGCAAAGTCGAGCTCGAGCCTCGAGCCTCCAGCCTCGACGAGCGTCATTTTGACAGCGCGCACAATGCAAACCACGTTCCACTTAAGCGCAACAACAGCAACAGCCACAGCAACTGCCTAAAGGATTGCCACAGCCACTTGGATAAGCACTTGCTGGCTCGGAGCTCAGCTTAAAAATATACACACTCGCACACACGCACACACACAGCTGTGTCTGTATGCATGTGGCACATGCAGCGCAGACTTTAGGGCACTGCCATGGCCTCAACCTCAAGCTGAAGTCGCAGTCTTAACGCTGGGCAACATATTCCATATTCCTCGCCTGCTCTGCGCTTCATTGAAGAGACTTTCCCTTTGGAGCTGGGGCTAGAGGGTCTGTAGCTGGAAGCTGGGCGTCGCTGCTGCCTCTTGCAGGTACAAAACGAGTTATCAGATTATTTGTTATTTGTCTGGGCCTCAAAACTCTGCGCTGTTCAGTTCTTTTGGGCTCTCTGCACTGCTCTGCTCTGCTCTGTTTTATTTTTCACTTCAAGTAGTTTTCGAGTTATGCAAAGCACAACAACAACAGCAACAACAACAACAACAACAACAATAATAATAATAACAATCATATGCGACGCGTTAATGATAAACACTCCAAACAGGAACAACAACAGCAAGAATAACAACGAGCTGAACAAATGAAAGGCACAAACGAGCTGGGCCCAGCCACTCGCCCCCTCCCACTGCTCATTTGAAACTCCAATAAGAATCCAAGTAAGACCAGTAGCCAAAGCCGAGCTGAAAGGGAATTTTTGAAGGGGATTTTATTTATTTACTTTTTTACATACTTTGGAATAGGCCAAATGTGGCCTTGAGTGGAGTAAAGAAAATCGTGTACTGATTGCATAATAAAGGTGGAATTTAAGGAAGGAATATTTTCGAAATATATTTTTTATATGATACGAGCCCCAACCACTATTAATTCGAACAGCATGTTTTTTTTGCAGTGCGCAATGTTTAACACACTATATTATCAATACTACTAAAGATAACACATACCAATGCATTTCGTCTCAAAGAGAATTTTATTCTCTTCACGACGAAAAAAAAAGTTTTGCTCTATTTCCAACAACAACAAAAATATGAGTAATTTATTCAAACGGTTTGCTTAAGAGATAAGAAAAAAGTGACCACTATTAATTCGAACGCGGCGTAATGTGATTTACTATCATACTTAAAACAATAATTTAATTAATATTAGAATTGTGTAACGTCGCCCTTGGCCTGCATTACGCATTTAACTCGTTTTGGCATTGAGCTTAACAAATTTTTGCAATGCTCTTGAGAAATTGAGTCCCACATCTCTTGCAACTTGATTTTCAAGTCAGAAATATTCCTTTGTGGCTCATTTCGAAGCTGGTTTTTCATTAGCCACCAAATATTTTCAATTGGGCTTAGATCTGGACTATTTGATGGCCAATCTAAAACCTCCATTTGATTATATTGCAGCCAATTTTTGGTTCGCTTGGCTGTGTGCGATGATGCTCCGTCCTGCTGAAAAGTGAATTCACCGCAATCTGATAGTTTTGGTATTGATGGCAACAAACTATCTTGTAAAATATTAATATATTTTTCAGCATTAACTGTCCCTTCAATGAAATGAAGTTTTCCTAATCCTTTGGCAGACATACATCCCCATACCATAGTGCTCGCAGGAAACTTTGTTGTTCTTTTAAGGCAGTCTTTATGGTATGTTTCTGACCTCTTACGGATGACGCGTTTTCTCGTATCGCCGACACTAACATCAAATTTAGCTTCATCGCTGAATATGATGGTATCCCATTGCCTTTGAGTCCAAGACATCCTTTCCCGAGCCCATTGCAAACGCTTCTTTTTTTGACGAAGCGTAAGCAAGGGTTTTTCCTTGGCCTACGAGTAAGATTACGAGTAAGTTATTGGGTACGATGCACAGGTAATAACAAAACATACTTTATAAAAACCATATCCAATACTTTTTAATTGCTGTCGCGTCCACTCTCGCTTGACAGTTTTGCCAATTGTCTGCGACCACTTAGAAGCCAAATTTCTCAAAGATTGGCGACGATCAGCCTTAACAATTTTGGCCAGTTGTCTTTTGTCGCGGG